TCATCTGGGTTAGTGTCCAAAAGGCACCGAAGGATATAGCAGCCAACCGAGAACAGTAGCGTTCTTGTTGTCATCGCTTATTAAACCAGAACGCTTGAAAAGGTGTGTATTCTTAGATTGTGTTCTTTCTCCTTTCAAACTAGTCCATATCTACCTTACTCGTTCTCACTTGTATGTGTTGTCTATTTCGCAGTAACGTTAGCTTCACTGTATTCCGCTGTGCGATGATAATAATGCTACCCTACACACATGACACATAGGAAGCCGGTGAACTAACACTTCGGTTGTTTGGAATTGAAGTAACTCACAAACCGATCGCAATGGTGAGATCTTTCAACGGCGAGAGTCGGCAGTGCGCCACAGACAGTCGAGTGTTGTATCACAAGTTTCATGCATAGGTTGCAGTCAAAGCCATATGAGTTAAACCGACAAACAACTACGCACTCGTCTACATATTTTTCCGTTTTTCACCTATAAATGGTTGAATTGTGATAATATCCTAAGGAAAAAGAAAAGCGTGAGCTGGTACTTAAGGCCTATAAGAAAGAACTGACATTATGCGAACGCAAGCTCACCCGAGGTCAGAAATCTGAAGACAGATAGATTGAGATCGTGACTGATAACTAGACAGCGGTGGTGAGAGCTAACGAATGGGAACTGCTTGGTTCTTGAAGATTTACGCTCGACTGTGATTTCAAAATGTCGATCATCAGACAAATAAAATGAGTAAAGGAGATCGACTACAATCTTTCCCAGCACTGATGTGCTGCTTGTGTCTATCGGCCCATCAATTTTTACGGGCGCAACTTAATGTTTATGCACTTCGAAGTGTCAATTGAAAGAATCCATCAGGCATAGGAAGACCGAATGCCAACCGCTTCAGTGCGACAAACAAAATATACACATTGTGAATTTTCTCTCGTAATTGGCAAATAGTTGCTGGGATGACTCGCGGACTTCGTGATTGCAATGGACAGTCAGGTTATCGACTCTGGCTTCGCTCAAAGCAGTGGCAATTCACGTTGTTCAAATACTGAGGTATTCTACACAAATATCCAAGCTCTTATCTTTACACCAAATGTAACAATCCCGCACGGCATGAACTTCCTACAAATAACAGATTAATCAGACAGTGCAGTCCCTCGAATGTTCAACCGTCCTGCGGTTATTACCATTTTTCGACAGAACAGCATTGACGAGAGCTGTGTCCGAGCTGGTCTTTGTATGAATACAGCTGTCGGTTGATTCCTCATATCTGTACTAAATGTAACGCCCTGTCTCTGTGTATTTCAAAAGTGCATGGTATTTGTTAGGCCTTTTCTCGGGAGGGGTCAAGGCTTTCTAACATCCTAGATAAGCTAGCTGCTCGTAACTCATCGACCTCGAAACCGACTCCTCGTTTCCCCACATGAGTTAAACTCCCGCCACGGGAAAGCAGTAAATAGAACTTCCCCTCATCTGTGAGAGCAATTATTTGGGCAACAACAGGGCTTTATTCAACTATGGAGAAACTGGGGCATTTTGAGGGCGACATGAAATTCATGACAATTATGTGGAATCAGCGAACGCCATATACAACGATCTGGAAGCCCTATAATAGCGGTAGCGCTTCAAGACTCATTGATATTTTAGAACCAGTAAGTATGAACTTCTCGCACTTCGTCCGTGAAAATGAGTATCATACGGATATCAAATATAAATATTGGCCCAAGCCTCCACAGTGTCAGCACAACCATCTTGCTGTTGAAATCATCCAGAGTAGTAAACAATAAGAAATATGTCAGTTTTCACACTAACTTTGGCTCAAGTAATAAGAAATAAAAAATGAACAAGCACCACGGAGGTCTGTTCACCCAGTTATATTTTCTGGAAAATGGATGTCCTGGCTGGTCAGCGTTACACGTGCTTCTTTGAGCACGATATCTGATTCGATCGTCTTATGAAGGCCGGACACGGAACTTTTGTGTGCCGTTACGTTCGTTTTCGCTGACCGGGGCATTTGTCGGGAATCGGATGTAGTTCTGGTGGACTCAACTGTATGATTCACGTTGACCGCGCGTACCACATGCTTCGCACCAGTTTCAGACTTACCGGGGACGGACACGAGGGAAATGGTCAGTTTAAGTGGAGAATGGTGTTTGTTTACACCGTTGGCACAACGACCAGTATTAGAGGCTTCGGAATGGGAAACAGCCGCTGGGGAGTCTACCGTGCTATCCTCATCTGCTTCGTCATCGAAATCTTCCAGTCGTTGTTGCTCTGCGATTCGTCTGGAAAGTAAAAGAAAATCAAATGTTTTCAGGATGACAGAAGAAGTATGTGCAAGAGAAATCAGCGCTTGAGTAAAGGAATCAAAGACAATGTTATAAATAACAGCACTGCTCGACGACTGCACGCCAATTACAAATGCTCAAAGATGAAAATGTGCGGTGAAGCTTATAGTTAAGCCATTGAGAAATGGTGACCCTACAGATCAATATAGAATTTCTGTCCGGTGGGCGAAACACCTACCAGACTCTACTTCCTCTTTTTTCGATAAATTCATCAATTGACCATTACAACCACATAGGGGTTATTTGTGTTCCTCGATCATATTTGGATCGCATCACATCAATAAAGAGAGTACATTTGTTTACCTCATCCTCAGCTAGGCTAGGTCATTGATGCGTCCCCCGGGGGTGTATTATTGGGTTTCTTCATCCGAGGCCATGGCAGAGCTAAAGCACTAACGAACGGCTTCTGATGACATAAGAACGGGGATCCAATGTTTAGACAGCGATCGCCTCGACTGTGCATACAACGATAACCCGGGGTCTTTTTGACAGAGATGAAGGCGTGTGATAAATGATGCGGAAAGCTTGATCAACATTAACTGAATGCCGTGTCTCCCGAATGTTTTGGCAGATAGCACTTTTCGCTGTCCTAGTGATCCAACTAAAAGAGGTACAACAAAATCTGGAACTACCAATAACTAGACCAAACAAAGGAGCAGAGATTATTCTCGTGAAAACAGAATACGTGTAGAAAATAAACGCCATCCTAGCAGATGGAATAAATTTCGAGGGTATGAAAAATATAGAATAGAATAGAACAGAACATATCGAACATAACGAAATACGTGAAGTCTTTGAAAGGGGGTAGCCGTACATTAAATGCAATCTGTAACCTGCTAAAACCTCAAGGCTGGACTATATGATCTCCGGGAGGTACGCAAACCAGATTGGCCAATAAGACCAATCCCGGATACGTCGACCTCCCTATATCATGCCACAGCCAAATGCTTCCTGATCAATGGCCGAACCTAGCAGCGGACAGACGGAGTCTATATAGGATCTCCTTTGGGACATTTGAGGTGGAGCCGTATGGCTGGAGATGTGCTGTCTGACAGACTCGAATGGTCGGTTAACCAAACTGCCGTAACATTTGGTCTCATGACATGCTTACTCAAGAAAATGCATTGAAAACCCGAGGACAACTTTGTTAGCTAGCATTTCTGCTTAGGCATTATCCAACCGCGAAGCGTACAAGAAAATAAACTGAAAGTTGGAATGCTATACAGAATCGCTTCCGGGACATAGCTCACAGACCACTTCAAAAGTACTTACTTATTTGCTCTCCGGGAACTGTTCCGACCAAGCCCCATGCAATTTGAAAGATGAGGAGCGAACCTAGTGGCGGCCACTTTTGAATGACATTTGACGCACCGACAACAACTTGCTGTCTTTGAACTCTCACGTCCCGAATGCACACCCAAACGTAAAGAACCGTTTTCAGAAAACTCTGCGTCGTCCGTTTGTTCCGGAGCAATCACATGGAAATAATCCAGCTTGATTGCTCGGTGCATAGTGAAAATTCCATCCATTATACACGAGTCAATCAGATCATCGACGATTTCGCCCAGAATTGCTGTCAACTGTGGACTATCCATTGCCAATTTGGGGTTCATTTCTGTTTATCACGCTTGAATGAAAAGAAATTTAAAACAGGACGGTTTATGGAAGGTAGGCTTCGAAAAATGGGACTGCTGAAAAACTGACGAGCAAGATTATTATTATTTCCAAGATGGAATATCTTATTCTATGCATAAACATAAAAATAGGAAGAAATAATACAAATAATAGAAAAGTTCAACTGATCTTGGAAAATCGTACTTTAAAGTGAAGGTCGAGAGTCCAACTTTTAGGTGACGTCCATCAATACCGTTAAATCAGTGACGCGCATGTCACCATATAGTTTGCCACGGTGCGCGACGTTTGCAGAGGCAGGACGCGGTTGAAAAAAGGTCAAGGGTGGTCGAACGCAGACATGGTATGAAAACCCTAGCCAGGACAAGGGTTTTATATAGTTACCGTTAAGCTTCTTGGATGAGGACCTCGAGATCATGGTTACCGTTGTTTGGAGACACTGAGTGTCATAAACAGTGGCACTCGTGCATCTACTCAATATTCTTGCCACCGCAGTCCATATGGATCCTTTATCTTCCTCTTAAATATGCTCTCAACCTTCCTATCTTCATTCTGCTCTTTTATCCAAATGGGCGGCCAAAAGACAGGAACCAAAACCGGCGCACGGAAATGCATGGTTAATGGTTGTGAAAATGGTAAAAAGAAGCCGATATATATTGAGGTCAACAGGTGGCATGGAGGCTAGGCGTAAGGAAGCGGACAAGGATTTTCCTATCAACTCCGAAATACCGCAGAGCTTCTCTCATCTAAAATTATTCTCACAGCCTGCAGGTAATTCGTCACAAACAGTCTAAATGTGTTTTGTTAATACAAAAGCTTAGACACACTGCATTTAACATGGGCTGCTAATGAAACCGTTGAATCTGTTTGCCGCCCTCCACGCGTTCCACTCCAACAGTCTGTCTAGTCACCTCTCCCTCCAGTGTCATTGTCTGACCCGTA